GTGCCGACCTGTAATTCTACTGCCTGTGGATAGTGCTCCTCCATTCCTGGAACTTAAAAATTCACGCCATCCATGCATTACAAAAACTTTCTTCGGGGATGATTTTATTCCTAATGACATCGTGATAGGCAGTAAAGAGGAAGACAGCAATAGTGAAGCTTCCTGTGTGCTCGTAACTGGCCCAAATATGGGCGGCAAATCTACACTCATGAGACAGGTGATTGACTATCTACAGAAGATTGAATGTGGCAGAGTGCCTCTGTATTTTGCATAAAGGAATTACATGACTTGACTGTTGAAAAATGTCAAAGGAGGTCCCAGCAGTGGGCAGGGTGTGCAGTGCAGTCCAGCAAAATTTAAGACGAAATTTAATCTGGTAGCAAATGCCCATGTTTAGATAGTAGATTTTCTACTTTCACTTACTTCAGTGAGGAGTAAATTTTATTTCTCTTATGAGAGATGGTCGGGAAAAAGTGATGGAGTATCTTTTACCTTTTTCAAGTGGCCTTATCCAGGACTTGGCATGATCTGGCAAAAGATGCTTCTGCAGGTAGAACAAGATGAAAACACAGCATCAAGGAGGAAAGCAGCAGGGAATTTGCTTTATAAACACTGCTGGCTGTGATAACTTGCTGTGTTTTGAAGGCTTTCAGAGTAGTTTAGTCCTACTTGAGATTAAGATGCTGCAGCCTGGAGCTGTTAAAACAGCAGGAAGCTTTATGTTCTCTAGTTTTTGTTTTGGGGGAAATAAGAGTTTCATTCCTGTGTTCTCTGTGTGGAACTGAAGCTCCAAGCCACGGTAAAAATTTAAATGTGTTAATGTTTGTTCTGCAGGCTGGTCTCCTGGTTATAATGGCTCAGCTGGGGTGCTACGTACCTGCTGAAGTCTGCAGGCTCACACCGGTTGACAGAGTATTTACGAGGCTTGGTGCCTCGGACAGAATTATGTCAGGTGAGTTTCTGAAATCCAGCTGCCCAAGGTGCTTTTGCCACCGAGTGAGTTTGTTTTCTTCCTCTGAGTGGCAACTTGGAAAGGGCTAGTCTGTTGCTTTTGCAGGGAGAGCTGGGCAACTAATTAGTTGTCTGTTGCTGTTTGGAGTAGAAACAAGGTAGTAGTGATGCTTGGTTTGATATGCTTGTCCTCTGTTATTTTTGACAGACACAATAGGATCACTTTTTAATGAAACTTAATATTTAAAGCCTGCCTTCCAGCTGGATGCAAGCCTGAGGAGTATCTTTTTGGGTATCATACAGTTGATTGTACATAGGTATCTTATTCTAAGCATTCTGGAATAGGAGTGTGATGTTCAGGAGTTGGTTTTGTACCTTCTCTCAAGGTCTAGAGGCCCCCCTGTTTCAATCAGAATGCCTGCCTTACGGCTGAAATCTGATTTTCTTCAGATGATGGAGAGAGGGAGGCTTCCTACTTGGAAGCAGTAGTTGACAATTCTTGGAGTATTTTGCTGCTTCTATGGAGAGGAACACAGAACTGGAGGATGACACAACAACTGGAATGGGAAAGTCTGCCTGTGGTGATAGACAAAGTGTCATGGGGCTAGAAAAAATAAGTATTTTTTGTGGTAAGAAGAGCAGTATCACAACTCATTTAAGGAGGGTGCAGATTTTCTGTGATCTTTCTGCTGAAAAATGTGGGTCAGTGAGTATGAAAGGAGTTAAGCCTACTGAACTTGTTGCACATAAGGAATTTGGAAAGGAATCATTCAGAGTTCTTAATTAAAAAAAAATATTTACACTTTCCCAAATCAAGGCTAGAGAATTTGATTAAGACTCTCGTTGCTCAGCTATTTTCTGTTTTGTTTAAGAATGCAAGAGTACTTAAGTAAGTGCTCCTGGTAGAAATATGAACTGCTTTTTCTGCAAGAGAGAGGCCATCTAGAAAAATGATAGTGTTTTCAACTTCTTTTCACATCAGCCAAGAGCTGCTCTTCTCCAAATACATGCATGAATGTTTTAACATTTTCACATCACGAGGCTGAACGCTGCAGAGCAGAACTGGCTTTGAAGTCTCTTCTTGACGCATTAGTTCCTACACTGTAGAAATGAAAGCACAGTGGAAGTTGTTCCATGGCAGTCATTTTGTAATGGATGTCAACAGGACCTTCCTGAAGTAGATTTTAAGTAATATTTTAGAATTGCCTATGTAATTTTAGGGGGTTACTTTCTGAAGTGAGTCAATGGTTATTCCTAAACTTAAAACATATTCAGTCCTGGAAATCTAAATAAATGCAGAAGATCAGGTTTGCTGGACACTGCTTAATAATTCATGTTGAAAAACTTAGGTTAGAGCACAGCAGTGCTCATGCAGTGTGGGTACAGGAGGTGAATCTTGCCTGCTCTGAAATTAACAGTAATTGCTGCTGCACGTGATTATTTGGCATGAAAACTACAAAGAACTAGTAAATCTGGACTTCTTACCTGTGGATTTATTGTGTGCAAGGGTCAAAATAATAGTGTACTTCTGCTTGTAATCTGCTAAAAACCAATTTCAGATCTAAATTTCAGGCCTCATGTTACCTGGGTTGCTGGAGCTCCTGCAAGATGTTCAGGCCTTAGCAGCAGTGTCTGTCTTTTGTCATACTTCACTCGGGTTGAGTACATATGAGCACAGCCTTAATTATCTGCATAATTCCTTACCTTATGACAACAACAACCACACCAGCGACTCTAGTCTCTGATGTCTTTTTAAAGCTTTTTCTGCTTGCTTTTTCACATCTTAGCCCTGCCTCTTGCATTCAGGAGCAAGAAGGGGCAGAAGATTCTCCCCATCATGTAGCCTTTGTGTGCCCTTCTTTTTGTCCAGCTGGTACCTCTGATCAGTGCTATTAAAAGCAGACAGATAAGGTGGCCTAAACCAATCAATTGTTACTTGTGCCCATGCTGGTACTCTTAAGGAACCAAAACCTGCTTTTTCTGGCAAATGAAGACCCACCATTTTGATGCTGGGAAAAAAGCTTTGTGTTTTTGTTAATCTTCAGTTTGCTGTTGAGTTTCATTTTAGCTTAACGAAGAGTAGTGCAGATGGAATGGGGGTTGAGTTGTGGTTTTCACATCTTTGACTACTTCATGGCGCTTTTTTTTGTCATCTCTTTTAAAGGTGAAAGTACCTTCTTTGTTGAATTGAGTGAGACTTCCAGCATTCTCCAGCATGCAACAGAGCATTCCCTTGTTCTTGTGGATGAACTGGGTAATTTGTCTATTTTTCAATAGGTGGAAATTAAAGCTAAGGTTAAAGACTAGCTGTAAGGTGGTTGGGCTGTTTAAATGGCAACCAAGTACACAGGGGCAGTTTTATCATAATGTTCCTCATGTTTAGCTGGTCAGCATCTATGTGGTTCTCTGAAACACATTGTTTTTTGTGTTTCATACATCCTTCAGTGCCCTGGGAGCTAATACCCCACACCCCCCTCACTATTAGCCTATTTCTAGCTGAGTTTTCCTGCTTTCCTTTGTGTAATTACTTGTGGCAAGCCAGCGGCAAGTCTCAGGAGAGCAGTGCAGAAGAGAGTGTGAGTGTTACAGAGCAAATACTCTGGTCACTTCACACTGATGCTGGTGGCTCTCACTACTCATGGCTGTTTGACAATCTTCCACGCAGTGAGGAGGGAGAAAACCAAACACCACGCATTGATACAGGGTGAACAAGGTATTGCATTTGTCTTTAGAAAAGCATCTTTGTTTCTCTTTGTTAATATTCAGAATTGGGCGGGGGGGGTGTCTCTTCAGTAGCAAGTAAACTCTGGCTTGAATTTGCTTGGTCACTTTTGTTCCTGGGAGCACCACAGCTTTTCTGTTTCCTCTCCAGGCAGAGGCACAGCTACTTTTGACGGAACAGCTATAGCGAGTGCAGTTGTGAAAGAACTCGCAGAGAAAATCAAGTGTCGGACGCTGTTCTCCACCCACTACCATTCGCTGGTGGAGGACTATTCACACAACGCGGCTGTGCGGCTTGGCCACATGGTACGTGTGAGGGTGGCACATGCGCTGCAGGCATGGACGCTTGGGACTTCTTGTCCTGTGTGTGCTTTTCTGCAGTCATCTGCCCCGTCACAGAGATGTCCTGAGAAAAGGATGTGATTTTTCACGCATTTATTAGTCTGTAGGCAAGTATGACATATGCTGACCTGTAACTTACCCTTTCTAGGCCTGTATGGTTGAAAATGAGAGTGAAGATCCAAGCCAGGAAACCATTACATTCCTGTATAAGTTCACTGAAGGAGCATGCCCAAAGAGCTATGGCTTCAATGCAGCAAGACTTGCTAATATTCCAGAGGAAGTTATTCAGAAGGGGCACAGAAAAGCACGAGAGTTTGAAAAAATGACCATTTCCCTGAGAATATTTAGGTAAGGCCTTGGTTTTCTGCTTTGAAGTTGCACATCGCTTAGTAGGCATCCATTTTAAAATTTGGGCAGTGGCTTTGGCTCTTAGTCTCACAGCAGAGGGGGCAGTTAAAACTATTTCTGTGAATATCAAATGTACTTCACAAGCAGCGAGGGAGGGAGTACTAACGCCTGACCACATGAGGGCAGACAGGATGAGTAATGCAGTATTTTAAGCCCTGGGTGGCTGTGCTGGTCTCTGGGGCCGAGTGCCGGGCTGGCAGGGAGCCGAGCCGAACGGAGGGAGTGCCTGAATAAGGCCAGTGCAGATAGCCGCTCTGCAGCGCTGGGGGGACCGGGGCCCAGTACGGTAGTGCTGGAGCCCCCGGGGGCAGCGATGGCTGCTGGCAGCCTTCGCACCAGGCACAAAGTGGCACCTGCGGTGCTCAGGGCTGTGCCAGTACCGGGATGCTCTGGCTCTGCCCCTCGGTGTCAGTGTTGGGGAAGGTGACTGTTGTTTCCCTCAGGTCTCTGTGCCTGCTGGTGGATGGCGCCACGAGCGATGCAAAGGGTGTTCAGAAACTTACCGCTATGATGGAGCACCTTTAAGAACACAAGTGTTTTGTACTGGCGGTTTCTCAAAAAGGTGGTATCAGACAACATTATGATCTAATAAACTTTATTTTTTAAAAATGACCATTTTTCCATTGTCTTTCCTAGGAAATTAAACCCTTTAATTCTTACCTACCCTCTACATAATGGTTATTGAGTACTCCACAATATATTAAGTCTAGATGTTATGGTACATGCATACACTTTCAGGCTGTTGATTACCCACTGTCACCAATACACATAAATGGAAAAAAGCTATGAAACTGTATAGGGCTGTATATATACTTGTCTCAGCTTCATTAGAGCAGGAAATTGCTGTGAGTTCCAGCAGGTTATGTAAGTAATGTCCAGACTGTTCAAAAAAAACTATGAACAGAGTAAAGTACAAGACTGTTTTGAGGAGACTTTCTACTGTGTACTTTAAAACATAGTAAAATTTCTTTCACAAAACTTAGTTACATGGGTACTTTGTTTTATAGTGCATTATAGTCTAGGAAGTCTCATTAAAACACTCGCTGTTGTTAGGGTGGTTTGAGTACAGACTATTGCTGGGGCAGGGAAGGAGATTATTCTAACTTCAGAGGACACCAGAAAAATTGCTGGATATAATTTAAGATTAGTGTTTTCTCTTTCATAGAAAGAACGTACATACTGGGACATGAGTACAGTTACAGCAAGTCTAGGTGTGCTAACGAAACAGGACACATTCAAGTACAATAAGATTTTTTGCTTGAAATTAGAAACAAACTACATGAGATTAAAGCATTAAAATCATATTTCTCAATCTGAATAAATGTTAAAAAAATCAAAAGAAATGCAGAAGTGCTAGCTCACATTTTTTACCATGTTACAAAAGCAATTGGTACCCATGTCCATAAAGGCAGCAACAAAGAATGCTGCTTGTCTACAGAATAGTACTACTGCAAATTGGACTGCGTCTCAATGCTACTTGTAAAAACACCAGCTTTCAGAAGTTGGTATCTGTACAAAATTGCAGCTTATTTTTCTTCACTTCTGTCCCTTCAAAGTCTTTGTTTACACAGTAATGCTAAAACGCCCAGTTCTGTTATCCTGAGTCAACATATTGCCACTTTCTTTTTTGGTAGGTTGAGCTCCATAGTGTCAACACCTCACACATCCGCTTTAATACAGTCTCTTTCTGCAGAAATGGGCAAGTATAACTTCCTCCAAAAAAAAAGTTTTAACAGTTATGATATTAGAATGGCAGGACTTTCTTTCTGAAAGGAATTCAGTTGTGCTGCAATGTATTAGATTCTATAGGTGGAGCAGAGTCATATAGTGTATCTGTATCATGTGTAGGCTCTCCAGCAAGCGTACAGGGATTAGACAGCGTTCCAGCACCACAGTCACAGAAAAACCTACAAAGAGAGAGAGCTCTTTAGTTTCTGCTTTCCTTGTGTTGTCAAAATAGCTCAACATACTCGTGTGAAACATACCTATCATGTCTAATGAACTCTACGTCATGTCCTTGATGGCACTTCTTAATGCAGTTCACACATATGGCATTACGGTCTGTGGTGTTGCAGGTGTGACACCTGAAGCAAAACGCAGCACGTTAGGCATGACTGAAACACTGATGAGCTGAGTAAAGTGCTCAAGGAGCATGTAGGGGCAGAACAGCACTACAGAGCGGATGTGCGTAGGACCGCAAAACTTGAGAATTTTACGTGAACTTGGATTTCATGGCACAATTTTGGGTGCTTGTTTCACGAAAGCAGCTCTGCTGTGTTATCCCTTAGGCTCAGGTTCACAGTAACAATACATTTTCCTCAAGCCCACAGTAAATTGAAGGAATGGGAACTTGTTTAATCCTCTGTTGCAGTAGAGGAAGAGCATACGTTGGTGTGTTAACAGACAACCGTTTTAGGGGTCTTGCTAGAAGACAAAATGGTGTTTATCTGAAAACCTTACTGTAGGGGGCAGAAAAGAACCTGTTACCTGTAGAAGTCATGCATCGGATAGCTGGTGTAACTTGATATCTTGTATAAACACTGGCCTCTGCTGACAGCTTTCTCTATGGCATCTTGATTGTTCATTATTTTGTTATCTGTTGGGTGGAAAAAGCACCAAGAACTAATCACACCTGGATCAATGACTTTTATTGCCTTGGGGTGTTAAGCAAGAGCCCCCCCGCCCCTCTTTTTAAAAGCTAAACCCATTATGAACTGTTAGGTCTATGCCTGCATTTTAAGTGAACATATCAAACCCTCAACAACAGATTACAAAGCAGATGCCCAGTCAGCACAGTGCACTCCTCAGACCAGAACCGCTGTTCCTCCGCACAAGTTGCATAAAATACCTGATAAGCCTTCACTTAAACACTTTGTGAACTGGTTTGTGAATAAATGGCTAGAGACACAAGCCTTCTGATCAGACTACAGTCTTCCATCGAGAAGTCAAACCCAAATGTTTGAAAGACTTTGTCTACCATCAGGACTTTTCCACATCCCTTAGAAAGCAGAAAAGCGTGGCTTTTCCCCCAGGGGAGTTTAATAAGGCACTTTCCAACACAACAGAGACGGGAATTAGGTCTGCCCACCTCCAGCATTTAAAAGATGTATCCAAGACATAGTGAATTTGACAGTCCTCTCTGTTATTCAGCTACTAGATGTTCTGTCAAATCCCAAAGGGCACCTCAAACTAGTTTTGTCCACTCCCAGTAGCATCACAGCATGGAGTGATGCAGTCAGTAAGCCCAGGAGCTGTGAAGCAGGGAGCCAGAGCTTGTGTTTTAAGTGGTGTAAAGAATATACAGGAAAAGCTATAACAGGTATAGCCAGGCAGGTAAAAATTCTGCAAACTGAACCTTTTCCTTCTACAATAACCTCCTGGAGCTGTCTGGCATTCAACCCTATCTCCTCCAAAAGGGTCTTGTCTCATGCACACTTCCCTACTATACGTGGGAATTTTATGTATGTAAACTGTTCCTATTTTCTGAAAAAGTGCTTTGGGATTGTGAATATTCATGCTTTTAGATCCTAAAAGCCAAGTGAGACACATTTCTTCACTGAATGCTTGTTTTCAGATATGCGACAGAAGACTTTCTATTATACTAACTTCAAACTGGAATTTGAGAAGGGCCAAAGACGAGTAACCAGTTCTGAAATAATTTGAGGCAGAAGAGCTGATAACAAGAGTTTTGATAGGATAGGACAACCTTTGAAAGCGTCTGGCTGTCTAAAAATCTAAGATAGCTTAGCTTGGCTCACTACTTTCAGCTGAAACTTAATTACAACTCAACTTAAGGTGGTACCAAATCTGAGCCAAAAATGGTACAGTAAACCCAAAATGCAGCACCAAATAAAAACAAACAAACAAACAAACAAAAAAACACCAAGTACCAACAAAAACTGCAAAGTGAACGCACACAAACAACAAGGGCTCAAGGCTCACCTTTCATTGTGACGTTGACACCAGATGCTAGAAATAAACCTCCAAAACGGTTGTTGAAAATCTGATTGCCTTCTAACGTTGCAGTTGCATGATTTGTTATTTCAATACCTTTATTGGGTCGGGGAAACAAAGAAGACAAAAGAAAAGTGGGAAAGTTAAACCCTTAGCGCTTGTGCATTTGTACCTCTCATCATCTACAGTTCGTTCGGGTTTTTTTGTTTGGTTTTGGTTGGGGTTTTTTTGTTTTGTTTTGTTTTGTTTTTTTTAAAGCCATTGTAGACTCAGGGGTAAAAAGGCAAATGACATAGCTAGAAATTGCACTGTAATTACCTATAAACTGAGGTTCCAATACTTCTGTTGAATCTTTTCAAAGAGCTACAGCTGGCATGCATGGTTTCCGGTAGTAACAATACACTACTAGTTTAGCTGATAATAAAATGGTACTGTGATCATCTATTTTCAAGGGGGATATGATTTAAAGCTGTCATCTTCATGTATATTTGAAAGTTCTTGTGCACATACCTTACCCTTTTTAAAATATCTTTTAAAAAAAGTTCTCAAGATGGGCACCTAAAATTCATTTCTTTAAATCTTAGCTTTTATCAGTAACCCGTGTCTTCCAAGTCATTTGTCCAGGACTGCTCTTGACAGCAACCTATCCTTCCCCCCCACCACACTGAAACAACACCTTTAGAGGCTCTTCTCAGAAAACTTGCTTCTTCTGAAAGAAAGATGGGAGAAAACTCAAGAATGCCATTTTAGTTGAAACGGAATGGAATGCAAGACGTATGGAACTGCAATCATTAAACAGTAAATTGCACAATAATCACTATTAAACATTCTTCATCTCTTTTGGAGTAAGAAACATTTTAACAGTTTTTCAAGTTTCTGGAGTGAGAAAGTTGAACTTCAGGTGCAATTCAAATATCTTTAATTTGCTGTTTCCTAGGTTTTAAAGCAGTGATAAAATATTCATACCAGCATCCAGCAGATCAACTATAAGTATGTCCTACACAACTTCATCAATTACTTCTAAAATAAAATAATGAAAAAGTATTTCACAGAGAAATGAGAAGGCAGAATATGTGTTGTTTTTCAGCATGCTAGTAATTCCAGAGACTGCTGTAAAGATGTTCTGGCTACAATTCTGAATTCTCAAATGATTTCTAGAATACACCGAAGGATATCCCAATCTCTGTTAAAATGTCTAAATACTGTGGCGTAAAGAAACTCGAGAGTTAGCCTTGTGAAGAGCTTACTTTAAGATCCAACACATTAAAATTTGATTTAAACAGCACAAACCTGCAGCAAATCCGTCGAATATTCGGTTTTTCCTCAGCACAGGGTGGCTATTGGTGCTGATAAGAACACCGGCTTGAGCATTCCTGAAGATATCATTCTCCTCCAGAAGACCTATTACAGACCAACAAATGTGACATTTGAGCTTGTTAACATTTCCTTACCTGTAAACATTCTGTGAAATATTTTCACAAGAGATCTCATGTTTCATCATCCTACTGATCCTTCATTTGGGGAATACCCACCAACAGCACTGCATTTAGTGATACAAGTTTAAAGTAATTCTCAGCATATAATCATGTAAATGTATATTTTTAAGTATACAGAAGAGAATTCAGGATCATATGCACCATTACAGAAAACTCAGTTTCATTTCTGAGGAAACATTGTCTTCTCACTTTCAGAGTTTCTCTTCAATTTTTCTAACGTCTTTCTGGTTTTGTCCTTCAAAACAAGCAGCCTGCCAAAGCAAAGCTGAACTTGCCTTTTTGCTGTTGCAGGAGAGGATTACTTCAAAATGCTTAACTTAAAATTAACGCTCATTTACAGCAAGTGATTATCTACAAAATATCAGAAACTGGTACCAGGACACACAACAGTCAGGTGATTTCAGAGGAGGACCACTTCTAGATTTACAAGTGTTCAAGAGGTTCCTTAAAGATCTTTCTTTTTTTCCCCTAAACCTTTGACACTGGCAGAACCTGAACTGTTCAGACGCATCATTTTGGCTTCATGACTTAAATTCAATACCGTCTTTCAGTCAAATGCAAAGCTTACAAAAGCAGATGAGATAAAAGGACTGTCCTAAGCAGCAATCCTAACAGTCTTCTTGGATGAGATTAATAACTTCTCTGCCTCCCATAGATTTCAGTATTACTGATGTAATTAAGGCTAAAACGCATCAGTGTATGTTTGTTAGAACTATTTTATTACTTTGGAAGACAAGAGCTAGGTTTCTAAAGAGCACTTTAAAAAGGACACTGCTTAATCTGAAATGAAACTCTTATCCAGAATACTCAGTATATGCCAGTAAGGGAAAAAACTACCTCTTCCCCCATTAAATATACAGATGCCTCCATCTCTTCCATCATGGATTTTATTTCTTCTTAGTGTAGGATTACTGTCTGTTTTAATCCATACACCAGCCATTGCATTATCAAAAATTTCATTGTCTTCTATAAATCCAAGCCCTAAAATTGAAGGAAGGGTGGAAAAAAATAAAATCAAAAAGGATAATAAATGGGAAAATATAATATTGCAGAACATACACAATTCCGGATAAACATGAAGGACAAACCTACCAGAATTATAGACAAGAATACCACCATTCTGACCACCCCAGATCTTGTTGCGTCTAATTTTGGGGTTGCTTCCAGTTCTAGAGGGAAACATAAGCAAAGAAGTCATCTGAAACAGTTAACTATCTCTCAAGGCCAAACATTGAAAGCACCTCTACAAAAGTGCCCTATAGATCTCACTGCTTAAAATTATTACTAAAATACAGTTATTTCCAAACACACAAACATATTTTAGCTTTACAGACTTCAAGGGCCACATATTCTAGTCAATATCCAGGCTGTATTAGTAGTAACTTTCTTGTAAGTTGAAACAGGATATTCAGACATACTGGATTTAAAAAAAAAAGTAGTTATTTCTTCGAAAAAAAAATAAATCACAAAACCAAAAGACACAAAAAAGCACAAAATGAGCTATGTCTGTTTTGACATAAAACCAGAATACGATTTACCTTATCTGAACCCCTGAGTACATGTGATTATAGATGTCATTGTCTTCTAACACGCCATGTCCATTGTCATAAAAATAAACTCCAACCTAACACATCAAGAATTAAATTATTAGTTTCAAAGTAATGAAGTATAAAACACAGAAGAATTTTCTTCTTTATGGCCCCCTTGTAACCACAGAGCAAAACTCACTTGTTTCCCACTGTGTATTCTGTTTCTCCTCAAGACTGGAGTGCTCCCTGTTGTCACCCAGACTCCAGCCAAAGTATTGCTGTAAACTTCGTTTTCCTCAATCACACCTTGTCCTTTTTCATGCTAAATACAAGACAATTTAAGAGTTGAGAAAACCTGCTGACTGCCAATACTGATTTTCTGGCTGTACCCATCCACCCACAACGTGGCTTCTTTACTGTAGCAAAATCATTCTTTTCCATTTGGTTACGTATTTGCACTTCTAATTTTCTTTTTTAATAATGGTACACCATGATTTTGAATGTTCACCATGAAACAAAGAACACTGCATATGAATCGTTATATTTCAAGGCTCTGCAGTAGCAGTTACAAATCTCTGCTAGCAGAAGAGGTACCTCCCCAGGGCTGTGCAATTAGACAAAAACTGCGGCACTCGGCACTTAAACCAGCACCCAGCCCTGTCCACCAGACTGACAAAAAATTGGCACGTCTCTTAAGGCAACTGTCTTTACCACGTGTTTGTGCTTCAACGTAAAGCAACAGTATTCCTGGTCAAGGTAAGCTGTTCTGGTTAGATTTACAGAACGAACAGGTGAAGCTGCACGCTTGCAGCATTAGCTGAACCTCAGGTACTTTTGGCAGAAAGATACACAAGTATTTCTCAAAATCTGATATGCTTAAGGGAACCTGACAGCTCTTTCAGTTCAATTAGCAGAGCCCTTGCACATGCTGGAAATTGTGCTTTATTCCTCACTTTTACAATACACGACCGTACAGCAATTGCAATGTATAGCATCCTGAAGGCAAAAGAAAAAAAATACATTTTCTGAGGTTAGTGGTACAGTACACTTCAAAAAAGCTGAACAGATTTCTTTTTTTTTTTTTCTAAATAATGACAAACTACTACAAAAACTAAGCCTTTAAAAAGCTTTTAACGAAGAGATGGTGAAATTCTGTTGTCTATCCCATTTTTAAATTTCTTACTGTGACAGAAATAATTCAGTGACATTCGTAAGAGCCTTCTCTTTTAAATAGCAGCACCAGCTTCAGTCTATTACAATTAACCTAGTTTATAACATAAGAAATTCAGTCATTGTAGGTACAATCAAGCAAATATTTTACATGGAGTACCCTTTCCCAACATTTATATGAACAGAAAACAAGTTTATATGCCTGTTTGTAGGTAATACTTACTACATAAATTCCACCATGTTGACCATCATGAATCTTGTTGTGTCGAACTATGGGACAGCTGTTTGTTCGAATCTGTATTCCTGCTAATGCATTACCTGTTAACAAAGATGTTATTTAATACAAGTTACACACTCATTTTTCTCAGAATTCGAGATGTGATAAGCAGATTAGCTTACCATAAATGTCATTTCCTTCAATAAGGCCTCTTCCATCACCAAAGATATAAACACCACCTTGATTCCCATTAAAAATCGCATTGCCCCTAAGAAACAAAAGTATCCACATTAGGAAATGATTACAGAACACTGTACGATACTATATATGTATGTAGTGCCTAGGACTGTACAATATTCAGATTTAAAATAGAGAATTTATGTTCTGTCCCTTTGAGAAATACAAACTTTCAAGTACAGGTGCAAATTAAAAATGCAGTTCAAATGAAAACAGACAGCAATTTCATTTTTACATATACAGGAGTATTTGCAGTTCATTATAAATAAATGAAATAAAATTTCACTTTTCCCATCCCTGTCATTCTAAGTAGTAAGATATCAATGAGGAAAAGGGTACCTTATTGTTGGGTCACTGTTTGAGGTAATCCAAACACCTGCAAAATTGTTTGCATAGATTTTGTTCTCTATGAATTGTCCTCTTCCTTTTTCATGAACATAGATTCCTCCAGTCTGGCCATGATGGATTTCACACCGAACTACCGTAGGATTGGCATATGCTTTCACTTCAAAACCTGCTATCCTGTTTCTGTGTATGTTGCAGCTTTCAAAATAACCCTTAAAGACACAAAACATGTAGTTTCCTGTAAAAGTCCTTTTTAAAGTGAAGGCTATTCCTTCCCCTCCAAATACAATCCTCATTAAAAAAGAAACCGTACCAAAATTGACAATATGCAAGTATTTAAATAGCTAATTAAAACAGCTACTGCCACTATATAATTCCCCCCCACCCCCCCAAATAAAATACTGCTTCAAAAGACACTGTGTTTGCATTGCTATCTATTTATTACCACCCATGGAATACCAAGAAAAAGTGGCAACTCTGGATATAGCACCTCAAAGAGGACTAAATATCAGGTTTCCTTAGAAGCTCCTAAGGATCAGAAGGATCCTTAGGCCATAAAGCCCACAGGTACGACTTAAAAAGGACAGTACTATGGGGAAGACTACCTACTTATTTTCAGATTCAGAACCATATATATTTGGTCAGAATATGATTTAAGAAGTGTCTTATATTTCTTTCAAATAACTGGTCAGAAGAAATACATAAGGATGTGGGAGATGTGTAATTTTTCCAGGGCTGGACGGGTCTGAGCAGCCAACAGCTATAGTTTTAGCAGTATCACACCTCATCACGAAAAGATAACCTGTTTAGTGAAGTGATACCATGTATATAGGTAAGACACCTGACCCAGAAGGAAAGGGGCCCAACTTTCACTGATCTTTGTCACCCTCATAGGCACCTTGTCCAAACACTGTTTTTCCTGCAAGTTCCTTGCGTTACTTAGTCTTGCTAATCGTGAGACTTGTTTTACTCGTGAACTACAAAAAAGGGTGATTCCTCCTACTGCTCAGTGTAACTGGATTCCAGTGTTTGGCCTCACATGACCTACCACCACGAGCACCCTGGAGCTTCTACTACCTGCCACACAAAAATTACCCAAGTTACTGCCAACCTAGGTAGAAAGCACTCCGTTTCACTGTTGTATTACTTATGTGCTGTGTATTACTGAAGTACTTCATCAAACATATTTTGATTACAAAAAAGCAGAAATACATGCAGTTCAACAAGGAAATCAACACAGCTTTCGCTTCCCCCTACTTTGACAATTGCAGCGAGGAAAGGCTATGCATTGATTAAACATTCTCCAAAAAAGTACTACCAGTGTGCACAGCTTGGCTGCCCAGGTCCCTCTGGGTGACAAATAAAGAGTCAAATGGAAAAAGCCAACTTTCTGTAAATATTCAGAATATTTTTTTTTCAAGGACTTAGGATTAGATTTCTCCAGAGTAAGTCAAGATGTTTTCAGCATTCTCAAGGAAGCTACACACTAATAGACAGGGGAATCTAAAGGTCATCTCAGAAATAGACCAACAGGTAGGCTTTGGGACTTCTTATCCCAAAAGGAGCCACTTCCCCTACCCCCCCATTTTCACTTAAAATTAAGCCCTCAGAGAAACCTAAGCAAGATGACAATTTGGTATAAAGTAAAGCTTAATCATCTTAACAGAATACATCATTTCAATTAAAGTATTACTATACACGGCCTGGTATCTTTTTGATTACTTCACACATTATCTTCCCTTTGAATGCCAAGTATGTTAGGACTACAGCAATACCATGAAGGAATAAGAGCTATTTCAGATGCACTTCATCACAGCCATTTCAGATGCCATGTAGAAGCTGCAAACAAACAGCCTTTATCACGTAGTCGGCAGTACCTTTGCGAGCTTCAGCAAGCACTGTTATTTAATATTAAGGAAATTTTGGTAGAAATACTTTTAATTCTTGAAAACAATACCGTATACTGTGTAACTTTTAAACTTGCTTGGAAATGAAGTGAAAGAGAAGGCTCCTTCGCTTATGCTTGTGTCCCATAACATACAGCTTCAGAGAGGAACAGAAGAGGTACCTGTAGATTAACTGTGCTCTGCCCACTATGTCTTAGAATACCATAACATCACTTGACAGCAAAGTACAAGTGTGATTTCTTCAAAAAATAGAAAATGGGAGCCTTCAAAATGATTGCTCTTCTACCTTCTTGAAAAAAGCAGGACTGCTGATTCAGAAGAAACTGAGAGTTTGCTGTAAGGCTCTGTGAAAGAAGTGCTCCTCAAAAGAGGAAGACAAACAATAATCTAAATCTCAGATTCCTTTATAAGGCTGACTGCTGGGTCAGAAAGTCAAGGCTTTCTGCTCAGTAAGATGCTGTAACATTCAATATTCATAAAGAGAAACTGCATTAAAAAGTCCAGTCACCTCAAGTAGAGTTGCTTAAGCTGAACTGCTGACTTTGAGCTGATGCAGTTAAATCCAGTGTATTTCTGCACTTGAGACCATGTCTGAACACCTCCTGTGTGTGTAATTATTAAACCAAATTCAGTTAAACCAACAGAATTGATGTTTGGTAGAAACACATGGTCTTACACAGTCCTGAGCAACCACCTCATTCCAGACTCCCTGTTTCTTATGCCGTTTCCAGTTGAAATCAACAACTACATTAGCCCAAACTGATCCCCTAGGGAAAAGGGCTAAACTCAGTCTTTAAGATGCCCCCAGGCAATCCCTGGTATCTTTTCCAGCCACCACAGCTGCTCCCCTTCAAAAAGCATTGCAGTGCCTTTGAACTAGTTCCTCTCAGAGGAGTTTGTTGTTGTTTCTTTTTGTTTGGTGGGGTTTTTTTGTTGGTTTTTGTTTGGTGGGGTTTTTTTGTGTTTGTTTTGGTTTTTTTTTGTAAGTGACAAACGTCTGGATCCCAAGAAATCATATATGAGTTCAGACACTTTCTTCTTGGAAAATTTACAAATACTTTGTTAACAAGGAAATAGTGTTTCTAAGTACAGAGTTAAATGATCTATTATCCACAGGGCCCCCTGATACTGTTTGCAAACCCAAAGCTTACTGCCAGCTCCAGGTATAACCAGTAACACCATTAGAAACAGCCCATTCCTTTCTCAGCACTTCCGTCTCACACATGGGCTTCCCAACCCGCAGCTCTTAAGCTCTGTCCAGCTGTCGGGCAGCTTAAGCCCAGACCCTTTATAGAGACTCTGCCAGGTGGCTACTAAGGTCAGGAAGGTCAATACTCCTCCTCTGCACAGACGGATTGCAAGCCTTATACTGCCTCCACCTTCTTCCAAGAATGATTTTCAAGTGTGCTGGGTATTTTACCTGTGTTTTGTGATAGCTTCTGGTTGTAACTCATGAACTAGCAGCAGAACCACCTGCAGGACACAGCACCCAGCAGGATTGCTTAGTAAGAAAAAGAGGCCCTGGTGACTAACAAGGAAGAAGGAATAAGGGATGCACACGGAAAAAAAATTACAACCTTACACAAAAATACCAAGTGTGCAGAGATGCAAAATACATTAGCAGTATCTTTCTGTTTGAAAAAACCCTAAATATTAAAAAATAGCTCTGTACGCCAAATTTATTTAGCATACCAGGCAAAGCATTAGCCATGGGGACAAGATGACAGCTAGACCAACAGCAAGTGGGGGCAAGAACACGCCGCTGCAGCCTTTTAAGATCCGAGCAGAGAAAGTAATCATGAACAGGCAAACACGGCAGTAATGGCAATGTTGATGTTTCCACACACTTAGTGTACAGAAAAAGTTGATGTGATGACAAAGAAGGGTTCCTGTGCAGCTGGACAAGCTCAGAAGACTTTTTACATCAAGACTAACTCAGTAATTGAACTTGGATATATTTTTAAAATTTATTTATTTTTTTGCTCTCAGCATGTTAGCTAGTCTAACAAATACTGCTTTGAAATGCATTAGGGTTAAAGCTTGTAACTGATGGGATTTTGTTCATTGCTTTTCTTCTCAGAGAAATTTTTTTTCCCTGATGTATTTCTAGAAGGGCTTTTTTCTTTCTCTGTCTCAAAGACCACAACATTACAGAAACAGAGGTATTTCATGTTATTGTTTGAACAATATTTTAAAAAAAGAAAAAAATAATTGTGCAAGCTTTAACACTTCCTAAATATTTATTGACACTTTTATTCCCAACAGGGTAAGAAAAAAAAAAACACCAAAACACAATCCAGGAGACCAAGATAGAGAAATGCACTGCTAAAGAGTTTCTGACTCTGTCAGCTTAATTAAATAGCAATAGTAAGTGTGACTGACAGCATAAAAATACGTTTATAAAAATTTGCCTCCCAAAGCTTGGAATGGTCTTTATTTGAGAGTTGGTGGACTATATAAAAATCCAAATGCAGCATAAAGAAAACCACATTCAAGACACAAAACAAATCCTTTATTTTTAGCGCATAGGAAAAACTTGCTATTGCAGCAAGAGGCCAACTGAGTTTTTATGCAGTTTTTACAGAAACTGGCATAAGCTTCATTTGTTTTTTTGGACTTTATATACAAACTTCTTTAAAATTATCTGGTTTGTAGTATTTAAAAGACTGAGCTGCCACCTAGTCACAATCACCCAACTTAGACACATTCTACTATACTTTTCTTTCATCCAGAAGAATAAAACAAGCAATAGTGCTACGTTTCTCATTTGGGAGCAATGAAAATGAAGACTAACACTGAGATCTCATGCTCATTCTTACAGTAAATCAGAACTTCTCTATTGTTGCATACAACTACTAAATACAGTTAATGACAAATGTCTGGTAACTCATCTCTGGCAACTGGCAAGAGAGGTCAGCATAAGGCACTGAGTGCTGCCAATGCCATGCTGCATTTTTAATGCCTACTTGTTAAACATTTGGCACGAGCACTAAGTCAAATGTCAGAATATTTCCAGTTTAGAAATAAGAGATTAAGTTTCTACAAGTATCAAAACACAAAGAACAGTCTGAGAGGATGAAACTGAAAAACAAAGCACTCTTGAACCTTTCAGATCCAGCACAGAAACCCACGGGAAAATAACATGTAGGGTAGGAATTTAGCACTGGAATGTACTTATCCCACTTCACAGTCACAAGCAATGAAGAAAAAGAAAAACACACTCCCCAAAATAGCAGAAGGGAAGCGAGAGAAGTGAAATTTGTTTTGGTATGTAGGTTTTGTATTTGAGAGATACCATGTCCCTTAAAGTATGTAAATATTGCCAATGATGTCATTTCATCAACTCTGTCGCTAGCACGATACAGAACAGAGGACTGCCAAAAGCAGAATTTGAGAGGGGAGGGGGGAAATCTCTCAAAGCAGGTTATGACTAAAAGATTTCAATAATATTTGCAGCTGAGAAACATTATTCACATGTTCTCTTTAATGCACCAGTGTTTCCTTTAAACAAAAAAGTTATTTCTATTTCATTTTGCTTGTGATATCACACTGATCGCAGCATTGGAACAAGCATTCCACTGGCAACAAAATAGATCAAATACAGTCTTATTTAAAATGAATCAAGTTAATTCAGTCTGGCTTTTTAATTTTTTAATATTTCAATGCTCATATATTTAACATTTATACTTCAGTACTTAAACAAGCAGCAGCTCCTATAGGGCCAGACTTTGCAATTAACCCCCAAGTCTACATACAGACATCTGCCATCCAGGAGTTACAGAAGGACTCTCCTTTACCAGCTTTTCTATAGCTGAAACACTTCATTACATGTTTCTGAGCCTGTTTAAGTCTTGGAGGGATGTATGGATATACATATCCACTGAAGTGGATTAGAAGTGCTTATACAATATGTTAATACAGCTTAAACGAGGTAGTGGCAGTGTCCAAACAATGAGATAATATGAAACAAAGACATAACATCTTAAGTATACCACCACTCCTTGCAAAATGGCCAAAACAAGTACATCTCTAGAGAATATAAAATGATGTAAAGAAATCTGTCATAAGACTGCTATAAGGGCATTCTTCTGGGCTGGTATAATCCTGCCCAAAAAAACCAAATATGCTCCTTAGGATATAACTAAGAGAGAGTGGAGAAGAGGCACTTAACAGAGCAGAATCCCATCACATTTGACCTTCCACTGGCAAGAAGATTTTATGCCAGCAGCAAAAATAACAGTGACCTGTTTACCTTCCACCAAGACCAGGAAACTGCAAATCAGACAGCTACAACTAGCAAGAAAGTAGCCTCTATCCGAAGAGGGGATTCCATAATATTACTTCCAGACTGCCACCACTCATCAAGAACCTGACCAGATTTGGGTTAGAACTAAAACAACAGAACAAGTACTTACAAGGGAAGGAAGATATCCTAACAAAGGGAAAAAAGATCCACAGTTTAGTGAGCCTAAAAACACCCAGTCAGGGATCAAAATACCAAGCTTCAAAACCAGCTGCTTCTCTTCTTCCTCTTGCTTATAATAAAAACTACATCATTTTTATTTCTGAAAGCTTGCTATGTTACATATTAGATATAATTGCATTAATCACTCATCAAAATTATGGAAATCTATTTCCCCAAAGAAATGTCTTATTATGATAGATTATTTTATTCAACAGGCATCTGACACCTAGCCAAGAGTCACACAACACATAACACACAGTGCAGGAAATACTCATGTAGAAGCTCAGTAGGAAAGCTAAAGCAATTTAGTACCTCAATTAATAAACATTTTATTTAGGAATAAGACTACTTTAAAATGGTGGACTATAGTTTCCTTGGAGCAAGCATCAAATGAGTCTAAGTTAAAAATGAATGTCTACTGTAGATAGATCTCTAAACATACTAAATTGGGGGGGAGGGGGTGACGACGGCAAGGTGAAATACATGAGGGATATGGAAGTACAGTGGATTCGAAGGTCAGGAGATAAAAGCAAGAAAAATTAAATGAGAAAACAGAGGTCCAGCGTACACCCGACTCCTCTTTCTCAGCTAGTCAAAGCCATTAGGGTCTAATGCTTACATTTTTACATGTATTTTTCACAAGTGTTATTTATCTTCCTCAGGGACTGAATAAGATCTACCAGCAAAACTACTACTTAGATGATAAAAGACATTTACTTATGAAGAACATCCGTGGATATAACATATCAGATCTAATTACAGTCTTCTTGCCAAAGAACAGGCCTAGCACGTATTTAGCCATAGGCAGGCAAGAAGCATGTCAGGTAAGGCTAGGAACAACATGTATGGAGGGGAATATGCACTATTATCCCATAGTACATGAAACATGCACTGGTTTGGCTGACCTCATTCTGCAGCAGCATTCTGAAACAGAGTCTGTAACAGTGAGGTTTTTCATTACAGCAGCAGCACAGCACCAGAGAAGAGGTTTCTATTTATCTACAGCACCTTTAAAAATACAAGCCCCAAAGCTAACTGACTATGCAGTTTATTATTCCCTATCACCAGAGTTATAGGTAATCCATGTCTTGCAGTATCCAACACCTACAGCAAGGTAATAAAATTCTGTGGTATCCTTGTGAACCCAAGAGGGAACCTGAAACCATGTTGATTTTGAACACTTCATCTGACAGTGAGCAGTACTAACTTCAGCATCCCTTGCTTAGTTTGACAATACAGACCCCTGACGGACACCACTTGTCACTGATCTCCAGCTGGACACTGAGCCATTGACCACGATGCTCTGGAGTGACCATCCAACCGATTCCTCATCCACTGAACAGTTCACCCATCAAATCCGTATCTCTCCAATTTAGAGAGAAGGATGTTGTGGGGGACTGTGTCACAGGCCTTACAGAAGTCCAGACACATGACATCCATAGCTCTTCCCTTGTCCACTGATGTTGTCACTCAATCACAGAAGGCCACTAGGTTGGTCAGGCAGGACTTACCCTTGGTGAAGCCATGCTGGCTGTCTCAGATCACCTCCCTGTCCTCCATGTGCCTCAGCATAGCAACCAAGGGGAGCCGTTCTATGAGCTTCCCAGGCACAAAGGTGAGGCTTAACCTTTTCCAAAATGGGTGCAACGTTTCCCTTTTTCCAGTCACCAGGGACTTGACCTGACTGCCATGACTTTTCAAATACCCTGGAGCTTGGCAACTACATCGGCCAATTCCCTCAGGACTCTGGGATGCATCTCGTCAGGTCCCATAGACTTATGTAGGTTCAGGTTCCTCAGGTGTTCATGAGCTTGATTTTCTCTTGCAGTGGGAGAGACTTTGCTCCCCCAGTCCCCATCTTGCGGTCCATTCACTTGAGGGGTGCGGGAAGAGAGGTCGCCAGTGAAGACTGAGGCAAAAAAGTCATTGAGTATCTCAGCCTTCTCCTTGTCCATCGCTACTAGCTTGCCAGTCTTGCTCATCAGGAGAGCCTGCTTTCTTTGACCTCTCTTTTCTGGCTGACAGACCTGTAGACACCCTTCTTATTTTTCTTTGCATCCCTTGCCAAGTTCAGTTCCAGTTGTGCCCCAGCCTTCTTCACACCATCCCTACCCAACCGGGCAGCATCCTTCTACTCTTCCCAGGATACCTGTCCGTGCTTCCACTGCCTGTGCAATTCCTTCTCGTACTTTAGTTTGCCCAGTAGGTCCCGACTCAACCATGCCAGACTCTTGCCTTGCTGTCCTGACTTCTTACACCTGGGGATTGAGAGCTCTTATGCTCTACAGAAAGCACCCTTAAAGATGTGCAATTTTAAGAGTGACTAGAAGGAAACTGCTCATTTTGCCAGCTGGGTGAGTGGAATTGGGACTCTGACATTCAAGCAGGAAAAACAATGAGTTGGCACTATTTGGAAGACATGCAGAATATTTTGCTAAATAAAATCAGCAAATAATAATTTTATTTCAGTAGCAAAAATTCATTCTGTTTATTTCAAGGGCTATGCAAACTCATTACTCACTACTTTACATGTACATGGAAGTTATCACCTTCATCCCACAGAAACAAACATTTTTGTTTTCAGAAGACCTGAATTCTGAAACAAAATCCTGTGTCAAAATTCCACAACTAACCCCATGCTAGAAAAGTCCTCTTCCCAGAGAAACTAGACATACCCTGTTTCAGAGATTTAACATTAATATATAACTGATTAAGTCTCTACAGAGCATTCTATTTCATTTTTAAATCTTTGAGTACCTTATTTTTTGTTCTGTTTCAGAGGAAAAAAGAATGAAGTGATAGTGTAAATGTAAGCCTACCATTTACATCCTATTTCAAGAGGTATTTTGTCACTGCAACATAATTCGATGTAGCAGGCTGCCAATCAACTGAAAAAAAGCTTGCTTACACCTCATTCAGATAAAATTATCTTTAAAGAGAAGTTGCCTTCTGAAGGGCAAGAGAAGAACAGTAGGCTTATTTTAAAATACCTGTTCATATATAAAAGCATGGGGGTTTTTTAAAATATTTCTTCAATGATGGCAAAATTTGCAGACTTTAGCTACATAACATCAATATTTCTTTCTTCAAAAGAAAACATATACATTACCATGCCATGGTCAAAAGTGAAAACGCCAACATCACGTCCATGATGAATGTGATTCCGTCTGATAATGGGATTTCCATGGTTTTTAACCCAAATCCCTGCTAACGCATTATTGGAGATCTCATTGTCCTCATATATCCCCTGGGAAATAAAAATGTAAATTAAGATGGGAACAAAGAACAGTAAACAATTTTATCAAAGTAAAGATATTGATATCAAAAAATACCTGTGCATGGTCTGTAATATAAAGTCCAACATTTTCACAGTCGCTGATGTTACAGTGTTTAATAGTAGGACAAGCTCCCTGGCCACTAACACATACTGCAGAGCCAACTGGAAGAAAACAGTACAGTTACCATAGCTTCAAAGCATAGTGTATTTATAAATAGTCTGGCAGTGCTTTTGCAAGAAAAAAGTTTGGGTGAACTGATATTTAAAAGATTTGGTGTGCACAGCGCCAAAGCATTGCAAGTCACAGGCACAAAAATACTAATGTCATCATTTTGCAGATGCACAAAAACAAGGTTGGAGTTGCTTTAAAATCACTCTGCCAAAGTTACGCAGCAGCGTATGATTGCCAGAGTAGGCAACAGTTTATATAATAATTCATGCTTAGGAAAGTTCTTACTCATTTATTTCCCCTATGTTAGGCCCGCTGTATATCACAACAAAGGACAACAGAAATATAAAATTACTGCTTTATTTTACTTCCCTTTAAACTTCGTAACCCAGTACTTCAAAGTGCCCAAACAAATAATAATTTTGTAGCATGCAAAGACACACTCACTAAAGATATGCAGGAGACAAACAGCACAATCTCAAGTATATAACCACACATCAGAAACCAACAGGTCTCTTCCCAGGTGAATTACAAAGCTCTTTGCATGATTTTAGCTACCATAACATTACCCAGAAAACAAACTCTTTTCAGGCAACTAGAACTCAAACTGCTCAGGACTTCTTCAGATCAGCTCAATTCCCTGAAGTATGAAAACATGAAATTCTGCTGCCACTAAAAATCAACAGCAGATTCACAGTGATTTCAGAAAGGTAAGACCTCATATCCCAGGGTATCTGGCCTACGTAACGCACACCTTCCTCGCAATTAAACATCACTAAATAAACAAGTCGGTGCATGCTCTATTAGTAAGTTTTCATATTACCTTCTAGCATAGTACCACAAAGACTATACTTTAATAATTCACACTCATTTACAGAGCTTTTCTTTTTTAAATCCTAAAGAAATTTTGATTGTCTAGTCTGACCTTATGAATAATACAGGCTATAATAATTCCCTGAATTAATTCCTGCTTCAATTCCAGTAGCAGGAACTTCAGCACCTATCTTTCAGAAACACATTTAATTTTGATTTTAATATTTCCAACAACTGAGAAACCACCACTCTAATTACAGAGTTGTTACCCTGTCAATTTACACTTTAATTGCTCATCTGGATTCTGCCAGCTTTAGCACCCAGTCACTGGTTCTCTCTATATCAGTGTATGCCATACCCAATGCATGTATGTATTTAGTGCAAGCAATTTACTCCTTCAGCCTTCTCCTTGACAGAGTAACAAATCGCAGTCAGTATGTTTTTCATCACTACTGAATTTTTCTGCTTTATCTTTCAGGACTTTTCATTGAACTGTTTCTAAATTTTCAACCTGTTGCTATGGACACCAGGAAAGAGCATTTTATTCTGAAGCAGGACTAAGCAGAGGCATAATAGTTTCTACTTCTGCTCAATATTCCCACAGGTATAACTAAGGATCACTTCAGTTCTTTTGGCCACTCAACTACACAAGGGCTCATATTTAGTCGTTTACCCATAATGACTCTTTAAGGTTTTCTCAGGAATCCACCTTCCCAGGAGAGAGGTTTATCACTTAAAACTAGGAACAAAAGCTAGTTATAACTTCACACTTGTCCACATTAATGTGTATATTGTTTGAGAGCCTGCTTTCCAAAAAAGGCATAGCAACCCATTCTCCTGGTTATTTATCATACCCTAAGTCTTCATCGTCTACAAGTCTCATCAATATGCATTTTATTCCCTCTCTGCAAGTCACTGATAAAGTTGCTTGAAGTCAAGAAGTCACCTCTAAAATAGTCACAAAAGAGCCTGAAAGGGTTTTTTCATCTATTTAATGTGTGCTCCAGTAATTCTGTAAAAATCTAACGTTTTAAGGTACTATGAAAAATAATTGACTTTGACTTAAAGATCTATGTAATTATACTGGGACTGCTACCTTCTTTTAGTCAAAGAAAGTAATCAAAAATGCTAACAGTGTGATGTAACCACTAACTTTTTGTAAATACACATCGAAGCAAAATAATCATAAATTTTAAATACTTGATTGACCAACCCCCCACACTTACTATCTCATTATTCTACCTAGGATCAACAGGCAGTACTACTTGCCATACTTCATCCTGCTTAGCCTCCCCCATGCTGCCCTGCTCTGGGACATACACTATCTCAGCCAGGTTTCAAGTTACTGTTGATACATAATAGGAGCCCAGAAGATTTCTTAGCCAGTTCTTTTTAAACTCCTGCATGATTTTAGAGTGTCTATTTTTACAGCTGTTTAACCCCATCCATGGTTACTGTCAAGAGTGGAATGTATTTCATTATCCCTCTAGGGTACGAGCACATTTATCATTCCTGCCTATTCTCATTAAATATGGAACAAAAATTACACAACACTTTGCCATTCAAATTCTTTCATTCTATGATGGATCAGCATCACTGATAAAACTCCCTTTGTTCCTCAAGTTAAGACACAAGCCTCATCTCTAGACAAATGTTATACCTTGTCTTGTTTATCAAGTTCTTTTGGTGAGGTAGGGGGATATTTTGTTGGGGTGTTTTTTTTTGGGGGGAGGGGGTCCCCAGAGTTTCCTGCAATTCCAAGTCTTCTGTTTATATTAATTGCCAATAACTTCTCATTTCTTGCATTTCATAATTGCTTTCACTCCCCTTTCCTCTACCTTGTTTGGTGACACTGAGGAACCATGGATTTTTGGGAACCCAATGTCATGTTCTAAAAACATACCTTTATCGCACTTTGCTTATTTCAATGAAGGCAATCTTTATTCTGACTCACTTCACTTGTCTTCATTATTGATTGTGTGAAATTGGTCCTTTTAGAGTACCAAGCACATGTATTACTGGTTTAGGCTTTATTTTGTTTACTCAGAATATGATGATTGCATACGCTTAAGCAATACTTAAAAAAAGGCACATTGCCATCCACTACTGCTTTATCTATCAAGGTGTGAATAGACTTCCTCTACAATGGATGCAATAGAACCTCTAGACTCAGGATCTTGCCATTTAAACTTTATTTAAAAATATTTCAAAGATGCTTTGGACTGGCAGCAAGAGACCTCCAGGTTAAATCACTCTCACTTACAGAGCTCCCATCTTTACATATTACATACATTAAGAACGTTACATATGACATAATGTAGAAATATGCTTTAATGCAATTAGGAGCTCTACAGAAAGGGTATCAAGCATGTGCTAGGAAAGAAATTTTGAATGCTTATGGAACAATATTTCAGAGATGTCATTGACTTGCAAACAGTAAATGCCTTTTCTGGCAGACTGCCATTCTTCCTCCCTTTTTACATACACCCAGTACTTCCTGAGTAGGTTATAGCAAGGCTTGTTAAGATTAAAAACGTCAATAAAAATTAATAATCAATAAGTGATGACAGTACAGCCTACACAGCCTCCAAAATTGACGACAAATTTTAACTCTGAAGAAGAGGAGCAGCAATTCAATGCAGCAAACATTCAGAAATCCAGACTACCGAAGAGGGGAAAAGGTCCAAAATTCTCAGAAACAGTCTTCCATAATGAAAAGTGGTCATGAAAAAAAAATTGAAGCTTAGTGTAATAAACGGTTTTCACAAAAACAGCAAGACCTGCTAGCTTATCTATAAGCACATATTTCAAGATGAAGCCATGCAGGTCTTCAAACTACTTTTATAACGAAGCTGAATGTGGTCTAAATCCCAATCTAATTCCTCTCATTTGTTATCAATATTGGTATATAGCAACTTTCAGAACAAATTTTCTTTGTATTCTTCAATTTCCCAGTATTTAGCATTAAACAAAGAAACCAAGATACTGACAGCAGCTAGCTGTCCTTTGTTCCTCTTTTTTCATTTCTAACACTTCCACACATTAGCTGATATGACTCCAATAAAACAGATGGTGATGCGAAGCGTAGAGCTGCCTTGACCAAAAGTGAAGCAGTGTTTTACAGCCTGAAATCTCCACGAAAGAGCGTATCTTCCTCTACAAGGCACAGACAAGGAATCCTTCCACCATTCTTTTTACTGTTTCCTGCAGAATTCCCTCCTCCACAGTTTGAAACAAAAAAGAATGAACTTTCCATATCTACTTGAAGATGTCCTTGTTTCCTTGACTTTATGTTGAGGTGAGCAACCTTTATGCACAGCCTGCTGTGTAGATCCATTCATTTCACTAGCTGAACTTAGGTATATAGAGAAGTTCATATTGCCATTTCCATGCAAAGACCCAGTATCTTAATTCTCATGTACCTCTCCTTTCTGACACTCCACTTCATCTGGTTGCATTCAAATACATTAAACTTGCCATGTCTTGTGTCTAGTGATTGCAAACTGCCATGTCTTTCTGACGACTGTTAACTGCCATCCAGCCTCTTACTTCCACTGCCTCTGATCCTTTTTTTCCTGAATCTAGACTACCAACGTTTCTCAAATCAGGCGGTATAAATTCCTCATTATCACTGTTGGTTAAAATTAGTCTAGTTTTCCACACTAAGCATTTCTTCTGCCTGTATAGCTAGGAACTCATACTTTGCTTACGTCCCATCATATCACTCTCGACAGGAAAGTGAACTTAGCTCAGCTGTTTCAGCTCATGACTGTTTTAATGCCATCAATCCAATACTGCATATTGCAACGAACCTAACGTAAAAAAGTCCCATGTGTGCCCCATTGAAATGCCCTCTCCTGCCAGCTACAACTATATATACCAAAACCACCTAAGTTTATATAAACCGTCACTTTTCGGGTTTTAAAGTAACTGCACAGAGAGTCCAAACTGATTCAAATAGAAGACCAAGTACGCATTAACACAAAAGTCTTGGACACAAAGAAGTCACTGTAATAATGCCATTTCAAGGCAAATAAGGCTTGCAGCCCTGTGTCAAACACCTGCATCAAAAGATGAAATATGCCAATAGTGATCATAATCAATTTGTGTGCTGCTTCCATGTGCCCCGGTTAGTTTAGTAACTTTAAACACAGCATTAATTTCAAACAACAAAAAGCCCACTAACCCGTACAAGTACTTCGAATAATACAGTGATCTATAATTGGACTGCAGTTCACGGTAATCTCTAAGCAGTGGTGTGCATTGTGGTGCTGAGCAGATTTGTCATCAGGGTTGAACTGAAAAAGGAAGACAACACAAATATAGTAATTATTTAATTGCTCAGGCATTAAAATGAAATTATTAAAAGCTCTGCTGAAGTTTGAGATTCTTACCCTGATTGTCATATATCCAACATAGGCATCTTCAGAACCCTCCATAAAAACGAAGGTAGAATCTCTAGTGTTTTCTATTATAACTTTATCTGCTACTTTTCCAGGTGCTGTAAAGAAGACATTTATCAAGGCTTAGTTTATGCCACTGAAAAAAATACTCAGAAGACTTACAGAATTCTGTCCAAAGCAACAAAGGAAAACCAACACTACTCTTGGAACATAGTCTTCGTACCAGAGGAATCTTAAACAGAAAGTTTCAAAGACAATGAAGAAACTAGTCTTTAACAAAGACAATCTTGCACCAATTTAATATCTAGTACCATGAAAAAAAAAAAATCTTCTTTTGTACAGATCTAGTTTTTTGACTACTACTCTTCACAAACTGAATTTACAGTTTAAACATGGATACCAGTCCAGAGGCACTGTAATTCTGCTACTAAGTACAACTTATTTTGGTATTTTAAACCCTTTTATTAAGGCTAAATACATACATTCCATCATTAATTTGCACCAATTTAAACAACTACTTAGTAAGCTGCTCATGACCTATGAGTGACCTCCCCACACTCTTCAAATGTAAGATTCAGAGTTTTGAACTGATATCCTCATTGTTCTTTAGCAGAAAATCTTAAAGTTACATTGAACTATACTTCTGAAAGTATGTACAGGAGGTTTCAAAACGGTTCATTTGTAAAGGCCCATAATTTGCAATTTTATTTCCTGTGTTAACAGCAAAGCCCTGCTCTACTCTTTATCCTTAATCCGAAGGAAGGAAATGTTTACACTGGTATGGCAACTGCCAGCAGAGGGAGCACAAGTTAACAGTCTTACATCGGTATAAATTCAATGATACTCATTCACAAGCAAGATAAGTTTGTTTGATCCAAAACCGCACATTAAATACACAAGCCAGAAGCAGCCTTCCTCCATACAGAAAATGTAAATATGGAAGTTTCACATATTATAGCAGAAACTTACCCGATAGCAATTTCAAACTATTACCAACTTGAGACGCACAAACATAACCAGATATTTGCCCTAAATTCTGTATTTCATTGAAGAGCCTGCACACAGGATTTCTCACGAGCAGATCTTTTTCTTTTTTCTGTTGACACTAGTACAGACAAGTGGTATGTCCTGTTCTTTATCACTCAGGCAGAAAGGTTGCTTCATTCTGACTGGCACATTTACATCATTATCCAGCTTGTTCTCACTATCTAAAAACCCAATCTTTGCTTTCATTACTGCAGAGCTGCAAATATTTTAAGGTAGTCTAGCTCTTCTTCATACAACTACTCACTTAGTACTAGATAACAACTAAAAGAGGCTTTGATGAGGACTTGTGTCATCACACAAAATATTTTTCTGTGGCCTGGTAACATTTCTATGTATTTCCCATGGTGCAAATGCACTGGCATACACACACCAGTATACTTCAGCATCTGAGAAAGAATAGCACCACAGCACTGCAGATGAAGTCAGAAAATAAACTGATCCCTTAACAGAAAATGAGAGCATCATAAATTGATGTTAGCATTGTGTTCCCTCTTGGGGGGGGGGGGGGGGGGGACACTTCACATTGGATGCTCCAAAACACTATCAGAGATTTGTGGCGTGTTTGCCATGCACTTCGATGATGTTCTCTACAGACATCTCCTTCCTCTCAGTAAATGAGCTACTTCACAGGTCTTTGAGTTTGGGAGATCTCCCAGAACATCCATTACAGAACATGACAATTAGTAGGACCCCTGCATTTAGATGTGCCCCAGGAAAAGGCTGAAGAGGGAAGGGAACTTGCTCAAGCATTGGTTTAATTCTAAATGCATCAAAGAAATTCTCTGCAACATCCTACTGAATCTTTGCAAACGAATTACTGAAAGAAATATCTATATTTCAGCTTTTGGCTTGGACCACTTTAGAAGAGAGAAACCAGTACAAGAAAGGAAAAGAAAGAAAAGGGCCACTAATTTCATAATCAAGCAAACCATAGCTCCCAAGAAGTCTATCTGCTGAAGTCTAAGGGAGTCATGTTCCATGGGATCAGAATTCACGCTCAGTTTAATGACCAAGATGAGAATTATTTAGAAATAATTTAACAGAAAGCCTATGTTGAGGGAACGCCTAAAGAATTAAAAATTCACTGGATGTTGCCTCAGAATTCTTTTATTCTTCAAAAAGGAATAAAACCATTTAATTTTTCAGTGCATTCACTGAAAAATAACTAGATTCTGCAGGAAAGAATTGTGACCTGGAAAAAAATGCAGAGGCCCTTTTAGATCTTGCAGCCTGTAAAACCTACAGTAAAGAACACAGCTCTAAAACCAGTCTAAAATATAATTTTCAATTCAAAGATGCAGAACAGGTATTTAAAGAACATTTCTGGCACGTGAAAGTTCTCTGGCACTCAAAAGTAAAATAAATACCCACTTAGGACAATGTTTACCATTTTAGATTTTTCTACCTTTAAAATTACAATAATTCTTACTGGTTTTACTAATTTTTTTCTTGATTGGAAAATCCTTTGATAATCCCTTTTTCCACTTACTTGCACATTATTTAAGTCAAATGGAAAATAAAGGGAAAAATTTAAAAGCTCTATCTCCTAAAATACAGACAAATCACATATCCGGTGAAGATTCTCAGATCAGGACACATGTCTGTACAACTGCTGAAACTCAGCTATTAAGAGCAGAGACTGTGTCTGGAGTTAAGATGAGCACTCTCCATGGAAGGCTTGTATTCCTGCATTAATCTGACACCCACTCCCCAACCCTGGAAAACAGAATTCTTTTAAGAAATTCACAGGTATTTCTGTTCACTGAACCAGATGCATCGGTTTCCTTACAGACCCTCTTTTCACCCTTCTTACTTCACAGTTCAAATAAGCCACAGTACTAGTAATACTGTAAAGGCTTCCTTCTGAACCTGACTCCTTCCCCTGTATTTAAGGAAAGAAATAAGTAACCCCCAAACTAAACAGAACAACAAGCCTAGAATAACACTCATCATTCTGTTAAGAACATTTTGCTCATATGAGAAAGCAGAACCTTCTTGAAAGCTCGAGCTATGTATAGCTGCCTTTCTAATAATGTTGTACTTCTTCAGAAGTCAGCAGAAGAAACTATTAAAGAAATTTGAGTAGAACTGTGGAGAGATTTGGTGCTGCCTTAATCCTACCATTCTTAAAAGCATGCCAGACTGAACAGAGAAGAGGTAGTTCTCCAAGGCTTAGTGGTTCACTTTAATTTGTTTTCTTTTCCAGACAAATGAAAACTGACTCCCTCTACAATATCACTAACCATTCAGTGGAGAAAGTCTAAGGAAGTGAAGAGTCAGCAGTGCCAGAAACTGAAATATAAATACATCTAGCATTTCTGGATTCCTCTTGGAGGTTTTGTTCCCCGAGACAGCTATTCCGTTACAAAAATACACAATACAGATTCCTTGCTTTTAAAGAACTATAGTTAAGATAACTGTTTTTCTGAGTAACTTAGGTTAATTCCAGTGGAAGGGGAAGGCAGAGGGCCTTTCACAACTCAAAAGAAGCCAGAGAACATGCAGAAGTTTAACTAGACATCAAAGATGTTGTTTCAAGTTTCATTAATTAAGAAATTCTCTATCTTAGGACAGTGCTGATCCAGGGTTTTTTTATAGATTTTAAACACTTCACGAACATGACTTGCCCTATTTGTACTGGCATCTATTACTGTCATCCCCTATCTGAAACAAAAGCCAGAGGTATTTTGTTATTTGTCGAAGGCCACGTCTGCATTAGCAAGCATTGCAGCATAACAGCAGTGGTACTACAGAGTAAAATAGTACTGAGGATCAGATATCCACACCACATGAATTGCAGGACAGGGAGGGCTGAAGCGACTGTGACTTTGGACCAGTCCTAGCCTGGTCCCTCTGACTGACCATACACCAACTACTAGAGTGCAATAAGAGTATTCCAGGAGCATGTCTCTTAGATCAGTCTCATCCAAAAGAAACCAGTTTGTGCTCCAAAACTGCTCCACGACACAAGCCAAAGCACTGTAAGTGGGGATGTTCAGGATGTTAGCTTCAGAAATGTAGCCGTGAACTGACAAACTAATGTACTAACACAGCTGCATCTAGCAGATCTGCAGGGACAAGTTTTAAGACTAACACTAGAACAATTTGACTGCATTGCTCAAAACTATTCTCACTGCCAAGGCTGCAAAACCCAGGCAAGAAGTGCCAGAATAAGCTCTCTGAAGAACAAAACAGTTGGTACACAGAACAGATAGATACTTGAAAAGAGGGACTTAAAAAAAAAAACCCACACAAACCCAGAACACCCACACAAACAAAAACAAACGAACAAAAAACCCACCCAAAAAACCCTAACCAACCAACCCATCCAACCCAGACAGATAGGATCTCAGAAAAAGTAGGCAGCAGGCAATTCACTTCTGGGTCACCACAGGAGCAAGAGGGCTGAGACCTCTTAACCAAGACCTCTAGCAGACATTACAACAGTCTAAATTCTTAACATGTTACCATGCTACTGGGGATTAGCACACTCACAGTAGGGACAGGAAAAGCAAACAGCTCCACAAGCACCACAACTTGCAGCCAGGTGTATTATCTTATATTAACTTCCTAAGCTTTTCCTACTCTGAAAGTCCGATTTCCTTCTCCATAAAGGTTCTCCTTTAAGAAGAACAGTTGGGAGGAGACGAAAAGAGAAAGAACCTCCAGTCTCAGAATCTTTCTGCCAGATGCTCTCATTTCCTTCTTTGAGATGGAATTACGATGCTGAAGAAAATGGGACAGATACTAATTTGGGCTTGCTCTCACTAATGGATTCTACTCTGGAGATAGGTTATATATAAACAAATTTCATAAGAACCACCTGAAAGTTTCAACTGCAGTCATGTAACTGAGTATACTTTTCTGACAAATTCCATTTTTTTTTCCTAATGAAATAAAAAGATAAGTAAGTTATTCCAAGAACTAACAAGCAGACAATGGTACTTCAGTCTGAAGCATCAGCTACTTTTGGTTAGTGACACTTGTACAGAAAATACGTATTTACTAGGCTGATGAAAAAAGATGGGCATTTATGCTGGATATTTAATACACTAGAATATCTTTGTAATTAAGGTGGCAATTAACACAAGTCATATTTAGATACAAAGAAGCTCTCAGTTTAAATACCTGCACCGATCATGGTGATTGGAGATTCTATATATATCCATTCATCAGTATATATACCAGAGTGAACAAAGATAAGTCCGTCAAAATGAGCTTCTTGAACCCCACCAAGAGCGTCCTCAATGGTATCGTAATACTAGAAGAGACAAGACAAGTTTAGAGAGAAATATCCACGCAATAATATATAAATATTCTTAAGCACTGCTTTAGAAACATACCAACATATTTTCTCTTCCTTTGTATCTTGCAGGATTACTGTAGAAATGTTCAGCAAAACCTGGCTTTACATGTGCTCCTTTGTACTGAAACAAGGAAAATAGTTTATGATAAGCTTGCAGATAGGTGGATCTGAGTGCACAGATAAGAGATCTACTATCTCCTAATTAACAAGCCATTTGGCAATACTAGTTTGTTCCAGGAACTAAGGATCATATTCCGACCTCCCATATTAGGCACCCAATTTGAAATGGCAACACCAAAAAAGTCTGAGCTTAAGAGAGTGATCAACTAAACCAAGAGGCTAACCTACTTACACAGCCAGAAGCCTCTGAAGTGACTGAAAAGCTTCATGTACCTTATCCACTCCACAACAGATGTTCCGATTTCCAGCTTTCGATTTTCTAGCAGCTTGCCACAAAACAAACTGCATTTATAGGATGAGGAAAAAAGAATCCCATACCTTCCTTCACTTTTGATTGAGTACTGAACAAAGAAGCCAAGTCAAGTATTTGTCTTCCACAAGCTTCAGAATGTCATTAACCAATTACACGCAGCATTGTGTAATACACTCACCTTGATATTTATTTCCCTTACTTATGTTTTTCAAATATCATACCCCGCCATTCTTATAATACCTTCCACACTTTGGATTAGAGGTTCAATCACATGCCTTAAAGGTAACTTGTTTAGCTCCAGTCACATCAGCTGTAAATCACTATTTAAGCCCAAATAATAGAGTATCAATATACTGTTCAGTTTACTAGAGGAAGATACAAATCTGACAACCAGCATGCACGCTGGTTTAATAATATACGACAACAACAATATATTTGAAGTTTATTTGCAAGCCATAGTCCATGAATCTCCTCCACAGAATTTCAGTGATGCAAAAAATGAGGAAAACCCAAGATAGAAGAGCTGGATGCTCAAGCACTCCCCTTCACAATGCATCTCCCTAAAGTGCGCCTCAAAACAGGAAATAATTTCAGATATCCCCCTACTGCATAACACAATACAAGGATCTCTCCCCACCTACTCAGTCCCATTATCTTATTTAAAGTCTAAAACCAAAATAATTACTATTGTCAGCCACATTTCAGAAGTTGGGGTTTTCACTTTTATAAACCATCTTTAAATTGGAAGATAAAAATGTACTGTTACCAGTTGCTGAAAGCTTTCTTTCCAGGGATTGGGATGTTCATATTCTTCTGGATTAATCTGATAAAATTTACCAGGTTCAGGATGCATCATTGGACGAGTATACTCAAATACTTCCATATACAATCTTTTCCTAAGCAGAAGTGTCAAACAGAAAAGAAAACTAATGTATTTCTGATTACTCTTCCATTTTAATATAACACACCAAATGTTAAAAACTGGTGTTTTTCCAACAGCATTTGCCAGTCTGTGACAGTGAATTTGACCAAGATCAGTACCAACCACTTTAAAACACTTCCAAAACAATTTTTCTGTTGGACTTTCTGTTTTTCTAAGAAAAATTTTGACATGTGTTTCATGATCCAAGCAAGAGTTCTCAACATGTAATTTCCACGAAGAAATTTAAGCAGGTACACTGTTTGTAGAATCAGAGTCTCATTAACTACTGCATTGCTTTAACACTTACAAAAGCTAGTAGCATAAGAATAACAAAATTTAAGACAAAGTGTGCCACCACCTCTTCCTCGCCTTGCCAAAAAAAGGCTCAAAAATGCATTCACAAAGAACAAATGATGCACTCTATTTCAAAAAGCGTTCATCAGTGGACAGATTACAGTGGCTTAAAACAAATAAAATAGCACACAACAATTGGATTCTTTTGATCAATGTCAGAATACAAATAACTGCAGTGTCCGAACTTGCTGATACCAAGCCCAGACATACAGGATGCCACTGAATCTCAGAAGTTCTAATTCATCTGACAAGACACCCCCAAAACTGTGTTTAGGACAGATGGGGGCGGGGGAAAGGAGG